TTAATGTATATTTCTAAAAATCAACATTAATTCAAAGATTATTATATATACCAAAAGTCTTAATTTTTTAATTTTTTATAAATAAATAATTAATTTGTTTCATGTAACTATTAAATAGGCTTTTATAATATTTTTTTTATAGATAAGTCATTTTCTAATTAAAATACTTAGAAGACCTTAAAATTTTCTTTTTTTTAATTTTATTAAAGAGTTGCTATCAACATTAAAATAAAATTAAATTAATTTAAACCTGATAAATGAAAATTTATATTGTTAATTATTATAAAAAACTTAAACCAATTTTGATAATCTATATATATAATTTTTCTGATTATTTTCAATTATAATTTCTTTCTATTAGTTTTGCATAATATAACTTCCTTTTTATTTTAATAGTTATTTTAAATTTATACCTAAATTATTTATAAATTCTGCTTAAAAGATTAAAGCTCCACATGCTTAAAATACTGGATATTTGAATATAAGAAGAATTGTAATATTAGTGCAAACTAAATGAAAAATACTACGATCTGAATAAGAAAGGTCTTCAAAAATGGCTGTTTGAAATTTATTAATAAAATCTTTTAACTTTTATTCGAGGGTTAAATTTGTTTCTCTGTTCTCAAATCCCATAAAAGTATAGATTATTCTTAACTATCAGATGCTAATGTAGTACCATCAGGAGAGAACCATAATGTCAGTGCAGAATCATAATGACCTTCTAATTTTTACTTTAATTGTCCTGTCCTAACCCCATATACGAATTGACTTATTCTTACTAGACATATTAATAAAATATCAAAATATTTTACTTTTATTAAAAAATTATTATTATTAAAGCAATTTAAGGTACCCAAAAAATAGCTGTTTTTCACTTTAGCAGAGTGATATGGCCAAGGGGTGAAAAAGTTTCTACCTTCTAGGAGATGAGGTGTTGGATGGGAGGTTTTTTTTTTGTTTTTTTTTTCGTTAAGGGATGTCTATATAAGTTAAAATTCGTTCCTATATCTCGGTTGTTTGCAATTTCCCTTGAGAGGTGACAACCTTTATCTAAAATTTATACTAAGTTTTGGAAATATAAAATATATTAAATCTTACATTACACTACAATCCAATTACATAATTACAAATAGTAAGACATATTCGAATCTTAAAACATCTAGCTGAAAAATTAAAGATTAGCAAGAAAAATTGATAAATTATTCAAAGGACTAAATTTTTGTATCGATTAAAATAGTCATATAAAATACAAATATTCTATTATTAAAAATCAAGTAATGCAGATATTGAAATTAATTCTCAATAGCATAATTATCATCTACTACTATCAATTCCAAATCTACACAAAGTTTTAACTTCTATTTTACAAAAATATATAACTCAAGTTAGAGTAATAGAAATTCATTATTAAAAATAAAAAAGAATATGAAAGCCCCTTTTTAAGAGGAGGAAGCTCTAGCTGACATCTTTGGTCATATAAAAGATGTAGATGACCAAATGTTTGGTGTCATATTAGAAAAATTAAGAAACGAAAAAGTTTAAGACATCATTGGATATTTTTCAGATAACTGGAATCAAAGCCAATTAGAATAATGTATCATAAAAAAAGGAGTTGATATCACCCAGGCTGATAAAGAATAGAAATTGTCTGTTGTTAGAAATGATATCAAATAAATCATAAAAGTCTTAAGAAAATTAAAAGACCATGACTTCAATAAGTTAGACTATTCTTCTGAAGTAAAAGAAGAATCTAAATAAAGTTTAATTAATAGCATCCAGGATAATAGAAGGATCATTCATTTCTTGTAATTGTTAGTTCAACTCACATCAATTGATGAAACTTTTATATAGGGTGGGTCTAATTCATTACATATATTAGTTAAGATGAAGGTGGACCTTAGAAACAATAATTTTGAAAATATAAAAATCTATAATACTTCTTTAATAGGAGCTAATTTTGTTAGGTGTAATTTAGTGGATCCTAATTTAATAATGTCAACATAAGCGGAATAAATGTTAATGGAGCTTTATTATTGAATTGTAAATGGACTGACTTAAAAATCCTTGAATTAAATTAATTACATAGTCATAATGATTATATAAGATCAGTTTGTTTCTCTCCTGATGGAAATACATTAGCTTCAGGAGGTAGTGATTGCTCTATCCGTCTATGGGATGTTAAAACAGGATAATAAAAAGCCAAATTAGAGCGTATTACTAGTAATATCTCGTCCGTTTGTTTCTCTCCTGATGGAAATACATTAGCTTCTGGTAGTGATAATGGGTCTGTATTATTATGGAATTTGATAATATTGTTCTTCCAAATTTATAATCGCAAGTAATATTATCATTAATATTAATATCATTAGAGTTATAATTTGATGGTCAATAACTAATATTACAATAAATAGCGCAAACCTTTCAAAGAATTTACTTAATCTTGAGTTCATTCAAATATAAAAGATAATACTCGATTATTTCATCTATATTTATTTCTACTAGGCTTGAGTTTACAAGTAGAGAATGCTTCATATAATAGCAATCTTTTGGATTTATATGACAAAAGCAAATTTTCTAAATTAAACACTTTCTTCCAAAAAAAATCTACTTTTAATCCATCGTGACTACCTAAATAGAAATCTTATTAGCCCTTTTAGTTTTCTTTATTTACTATAATAAAATCGAAAATATTTTTAAGAATTATTTTATTAACAATATAAATTTTTGTTTAAGTATAATAATTTTTTTCTAACAAATACATTCCACCCTAAAAATTTTATTTGATATTACCAATTAATTAATACAGTATTAATTCTAATAATCTCTTTAAAATATTTAAACCGTGTTAATTCCTTTATATTTACAACATTTCAAATCCTGCATAAATTAGTACTTTTATTTTTTCAAATTTTAAATATAGAAATGAAAGTTTATTAAAAAATTCAAACTGCTAAAATTTTTTGTAAAAAAAAACAAAATGGAATTTAATCATTTTTAGAATGAAGGCTAAAAATGTTTTAAATTAATGAAAGTAATTCTGCAATCTAGCTGATAAAAAATTAAATTTGCTGATTTTTATAATAAATTTTCAGTTCATATTATTCATCTCTATTACAAAATTATAAGTTTTTATATTCATTCCAATAAATTATAGAATGACATTAATCCTTCCGCATTAATAATATTCCTTTTCATCTTTTTTCCACCAAATCTACGATATGTAAAAAGTGATGTTTATTAAAGTAAATTTAATGCATAAGAAATAATGTCTGAGCTATTTTTTTTGCTGATTTAGAAAAATAACTTTAGTAATTCAAAAATTGCATGGACAATAGGGCATTATTGATCCAACAATAAAAATTATTCCCAACCTAAATTATTTACAATATATTTTATTATTTGATATAATTTATATTTATAATACTCTAAAATGAAAAAGCATGTAAGATAAATTTATCCTCTTTCAAAATTTATTATTTCTCCTAAGGTCTTTAGGTCTCCCTGTTGATATGAATTAGATTTATAGATAAGAACTCAACCTAACTATGAATTACTACACATGTTTCTGATTTAGATCAAATTTGCTTGAGGGAGGATTGAATTAGGTTTCAAGTTTTGTTTTAGGGCATTATTTGAGATAATTCCCTTGAAAAAATATTAAAGTAAATCGCCTTAAATAATTGTTTTGATTTAAAAATTTTCTCAATCAAATTGGATTTGAAATCCAGATAGGCAAATGAAATTTTTGGTTAAAATTTTAAAACATATTCTGAATGTGGATCTAGGTTTGGAATCATAATATGTGTTGGCTACTTATCAAATTTTAGACTTAATTCTCCTTAAAAAATCTTATGATGCTGCCTTCGTTAT